TAAAGAAATAAATCAGTTGGCTCCTGGAAATATGCTTGATGGAAAAAAATATTTGAGAATATATCAAGACAGAAACCAACTTACCTGATAAAAGGAAATCATACCAAAAGACCTTTATGTAATGTCATGGAAAAAATGAATGATTTAACCAATGTTGTCAGGAGGTTATAAACACAGAATTACGTTTGGTATTAACGAACGATAAATGTAACAATAATGAAAACAATAATAATAGTAGCCATAGTTATAATAATACTAATAATAGAGATGATAATAGTAATAATAACAATGTTAACAGAAATGCTAATAACAAAAAAGATTCATATTAGATTTGGGGTGTCGTGGACAATCACTATAATTTCTTATTGAAGGGTGGTGATAATAAATACCCCAATATTTAATAGACCGACAGTTTATTGTTTTTTTTACAAAAAAAAAATATATAAATAAGCTAATAAACAGTCAATGAATTTAATAGATAATTTTTATTTTTTTGCTTTATATACAGATGTATTTTATAAATATTTTTGTGAAAGAATATATATTTTTAGTTTATAAACTATTACTAATTAACTATATAAGAAAAAGCTCTTTAAAACCATTGTTTTTTTTAAAAAAAATGATGTTATATTATATATGATAATTATTAGTTTATTGATTGTAAATTATTTACTAATGAAAGAAATTGAGCAAATTATATTAGTGGTGATAGTATTATTATCTATAAATCATAAAATATATAAAAATAAAAAATAAAAAAATCAAGGATTCACAAAAAGCGAACATCGTCGACAAATATAATTCACGTTTTCATAATCGTTTATTTCGCGATATCTCTCATCAACTGCTATGAGACAGTCAAGGTGCTGCCAAACAGCACATCGGTCACAAGCAATCATTCGGCGGTTATCATCCTATATTAATTCAAAAAAATTTTTATTAAAAATTTTTTTTTCCAAAGAGAAAACAATCAATTGATAATTACAATGTTTATGCCGGTGAGTCCACAGTTACATTCAAAAAACCAGTCATCCATTTGTTCTAATTGCTCATCATCTTCTTGCTGGTTATCAGATTGACCATTGACTTGATTATTGGCATTTGTACGATTAGCATTAGCGCGATTGGCATTAACACGATTGGCATTAACGCGATTGGCATTAACGCGATTGGCATTAACACGATTGGCATTAACGCGATTGGCATTAACGCGATTGGCATTAACGCGATTGGCATTGGCATTAGCGTTACTGGTAGTAGAGTGACTGGTATCATGACTGGTAATAACATGGCTGGTAGTATTGTGAGTATTAGTAGTATGATTGCTAGCAGATTGATGGTTATTTGTAGTACTAAACAATCCTGTAGTTGAACCATTGATTGGGAGGGTATCCGCAGGAATATTAGTTTGCACGCCATTTGAAACACCAGTTACATTGTTTTCTGGATCGTGATTAGATTGTTGAATGGGTGACTGTGTTTCCGTTTTAAAAAGATATTGTTGTTGTTCGATTGGCATATCATTTTGATTTTGGCTTTGAGTTTGAGTTTGAGTTTGAGTTTGAGTTTGAGTTTGAGTTTGAGTTTGAGTTTGAGTTTGAGTTTGAGTTTGA